ATGGCACCAGTTTGGTGCCCACACAGCAAAACACATAAACACGCTAGAGAAAATACATAAGTTCAACACCAAGCTGGCAACGTCGTTAAGGAACCAGAGTTAAGAAAGAAAGAAAGATGGTATGAATATGATTTCATGACTCGGGAAGAACAGTAAGAGAAGACATGACCACATAAAAAGTATTCAGGGGTAGAGATATCGTAGATAAAGGAAGGCGCTTTACCAAACGAGAGATCAGGATGATGGAACACAGATGGCAGCTGATGAACCAGGATGATGGAACACAGATGGCAGCTGAGAAACTAGGATGATGAAACACAGATGGCAGCTGAGAAACCAGGATGATGGAACACAGATGGCAGCTGAGGAACCAGGATGACGGAACACAGATGGGAGCTGAGGAACCAGGATGATGGAACACAGATGGCAGCTGAGGAACCAGGATGATGGAACACAGATGGGAGATGAGGAACCAGGATGATGGCATAAAGATGGCAGCTGAGGAACCAGGATGATGGAACACGGATGGAAGCTGAGGAACGAGGATGCTGGAACACAGATGGCAGCTGAGGAACCAGGATGATGGAGCACAGAACGGAGATGAGGAACCAGGATTATGGAACACAGAAGGCAGCTGAGGAACCAGGATGTTGGAACACAGATGGGAGATGAGGAACCAGGATGATGGAACACAGATGGAAGCTGAGGAACTAGGATGATGGAACACAGATGGGAGCTGAGGAACCAGGATGATGGAACACACATGGGAGCTGAGGAACTAGGACGATGGAACACAGGTGGGAGCAGAGGAACCAGGTTGATGGAAAACAGTTGGCAGCTGAGGAACCAGGATGATGGAACACAGATGGCAGCTGAGGAACCAGGATGATGGAACACACATGGGAGTTGAGGAACTAGGATGATGAACAGATGGGAGGAAACAGGGTTATAACCAGATGGAGCTGAGGAACCAGGATGATGGAACACAGATGGTAGCTGAGGAACTAGGATGAGGGAACACAGATGGTAGCTGAGGAACCAGGATGATGGAGCACAGATGGTAGCTGAGAAACCAGGATGATGGAACACAGAGGGTAGCTGAGGAACCAGAATGATGGAACACAGATGGTTGCTGAGGAACCAGGATGATGGAACACAGATGGGAGCTGAGGAACGAGGATGATGGAATACAGATGGGAGCTCAGGAACCAGGATGATGGAACACACATGGGAGCTGAGGAACTAGGACGATGGAACACAGATGGGAGCTCAGGAACCAGGATGATGGAACACACATGAGAGCAGAGGAACTAGGATGATGGAACACAGATGGGAGCTGAGGAACAGGATGATGGAACACAGATGGGAACTGAGGAACCTGGATGATGGAACACAGATGGCAGCTGAGGAACCAAGATGTTGGAACACAGATGGGAGCTGAGGAAACAGGATGATGGAACACAGATGGGAGCTGAGGAACCAGGATGATGGCACACAGATGGCAGCTGAGGAACCAGGATGATGGAACACAGATGTCAGTTGAGGAACCAGGATGATGGAACACAGATGGTAGCTGAGGAACCAGGATGATTGAACACAGATGGGAGCTGAGGAACCAGGATGATGGAACACAGATGGCAGCTGAGGAACCAAGATGATGGAACACAGATGGCAGCTGAGGAACCTGGATGGAACACAGATGGCAGCTGAGGAACCAGGATGATGGAACACAGATGGCAGCTGAGGAACCAGGATGATGGAACACAGATGGCAGCTGAGGAACCAAGATGGAACACAGATGGCAATTGAGGAACCAGGATGATGGAACACAGATGGCAGCTGAGGAACCAGGATGATGGAACACAGATGGCAGCTGAGGAACCAGGATGATGGAACACAGATGGGAGTTGAGGAACCAGGATGATGGAACACAGATGGCAGCTAAGGAACCAGGATGATGGAACACAGATGGGAGCTGAGGAACGATGATAGAAAACAGATGGCAGCTGAGGAACCAGGATGATGGAACACAGATGGCAGTTGAGGAACCAGGATGATGGAACCCAGATGGCAGCTGAGGAACCAGGATGATGGAACACAGATGGGAGCTGAGGAACGATGATAGAAAACAGATGGCAGATGAGGAACCAGGATGATGGAACACAGATGGCAGTTGAGGAACCAGGATGATGGAACACAGATGGCAGCTGAGGAACTAGGATGATGGAACACAGATGGGAGTTGAGGAACCAGGATGATGGAACACAGATGGCAGCTAAGGAACAGGATGATGGAACACAGATGGGAGCTGAGGAACGATGATAGAAAACAGATGGCAGCTGAGGAACCAGGATGATGGAACACAGATGACAGTTGAGGAACCAGGATGATGGAACACAGATGGCAGCTGAGGAACCAGGATGATGGAACACAGATGGGAGCTGAGGAAGGATGATAGAAAACAGATGGCAGCTGAGGAACCAGGATGATGGAACACAGATGGCAGTTGAGGAACCAGGATGATGGAACACAGTTGGCAGCTGAGGAAGAAGGATGATAGAACACAGATGGAGTGAGGAACCAGGATGATGGAACACAGATGGCAGCTAAGGAACCAGGATGATGGAACACAGATGGGAGCTGAGGAACGTATAGAAAACGATGGCACTGAGGAACAGATGATGGAACAAGATGACGTGAGGAACCAGGATGATGGAACACAGATGGCAGTGAGGAACCAGGATGATGGAACACAGATGGGAGCTGAGGAAGGATGATAGAAAACAGATGGCAGCTGAGGAACCAGGATGATGGAACACAGATGGCAGTTGAGGAACCAGGATGATGGAACACAGTTGGCAGCTGAGGAAGAAGGATGATAGAACACAGATGGTAGCTGAGGAACCAGGATGATGGAACACAGATGGCAGCTGAGGAACCAGGATGATGGAACACAGATGCCAGCTGAGGAACCAGGATGATGGAACACAGATGGTAGCTGAGGAACCAGGATGATGGAACACAGATGGTAGTTGAGGAACCAGGGTGATGGAACACAGATGGTAGCTGAGGAACCAGGATGATGGAACACAGACTGGCAGCTGAGGAACCAGGATGATGGAACACGGATGGCAGCTGAGGAAGAAGGATGATGGAACACAGATGGTAGCTGAGGAACCAGGATGATGGAACACAGATGGCAGTTGAGGAACCAGGATGATGGAACACAGATGGGAGCTGAGGAACCAGGATGATGGAACACAGATGGCAGCTGAGGAACCAGGATGATGGAACACAGATGGGAGCTGAGGAACAGAGATGATGGAACACAGATGGCAGCTGAGGGAACGCAGGATGATGGCACACAGATGGCAGCTGAGGGACCAGGATGATGGCACACAGATGGGAGCTGAGGAACCAGGATGATGGAACACAGATGGCAGCTGAGGAACCAGGATGATGGAACACAGAGGAGTGAGAACCAGGATGACGAACACAGATGCAAGGAACCAGGATGATGGAACACAGATGGGAGCTGAGGAACGAGGATGATGGAACACAGATGGCAGCTGAGGGACCAGGATGATGGCACACAGATGGGAGCTGAGGAACCAGGATGATGGAACACAGATGCAGCTGAGGAACCAGGATGATGGAACACAGATGGGAGCTGAGGAACCAGGATGATGGAACACAGATGGCAGCTGAGGAACCAGGATGATGGAACACAGATGGCAGCTGAGGAACTAGGATGATGGAACACAGATGGCAGCTGAGGAACCAGGATGATGGCACACAGATGGCAGCTGAGGTGCCAGGATGATGGAACACAGATGCCAGCTGAGAACACAGGATGTGAACCAGATGCCAGTGAGGAACCAGGATGATGGAACACAGATGGCAGCTGGGAACCGATGAGGAACACAGATGGAAGTGGGAATAGGATGAGGAACACAGATGGGAGCTGAGGAACCAGGATGATGGAACACAGATGGCAGCTGAGGAATCAGGATGATGGAACACAGATGGGAGCTGAGGAACCAGGATGATGGAACACAGATGGCAGCTGAGAAACCAGGATGATGGAACACAGATGGTAGCTGAGGAACCAGGATGATGGAACACAGATGGCAGCTGAGGAACCAGGATGATGGAACACAGATGGCAGCTGAGGAACCAGGATGATGGAACACAGATGGCAGCTGAGGAACCAGGATGATGGAACACAGATGGCAGCTGAGGAACGAGGAAGCTGAACTCCTGACTGAGACATTTTAAGCATCATTTTCTCAGTACTGCGGCTGTAAGCATGTGAAATGAGCTGAACAAAAGGAAAACCAAATCCACTTCACTGATTTCAAAACAAAAGCGCGCGCGCGCGCGCGCGCGAGAGAGAGAGAGAGAGAGAGAGAGAGAGAGAGAGAGAGAATGACTTTAGCCACGACAAAAGAGTCGCAAGAGCTGGAGCTCAGCTACTAACACCAGCATCACTGTAGTAATGAAGGTGCATGTCGGTGCCATCATAGTTAATGTTCTCCCAAGCATCAGACCCAAACATTATTGTCCTTTCATCCCACAGTCAGAGCCATCATCCTCGTCCCCCGCTACCCAGGACCGCCCTTCCTCCCCTCTCCCCCTCTCCTTTCTTCTTTCATCAAGTCCCCATCTCTCCAGCCTACATCCTTCCCATCTCCAAGTCAGCATCCTTCTCCCAAAATCATCCTTCTCATCCTGCCCAGTCCAGCATCTCCTCTCCCTCTCTCAAATGAAAGTTATTTTATCGCTTGAAAATTGCTATTTACATTTTATTCTGTACAACATTAGGTACGTTCTTATTCCAATGATAGAGCTGAGCCAGTTATGGATTAAAAGTGTGTTTCAATAAATAAATCCTGGAATTAAACAGTATTTGTACCAGTAAATCTTGGAATCAAATCGTATTTGTAGCCAGTAAATCCTGGTATTGCTGAACGTGGTGGTATTACTGGGGTGTTACCAACCTGCCAGCGGGTGTTATCGAGCAGGTGTTTCCCCGCTGCGATGGCTACACTGGCTTTGGCCGTAGCAGAACTGGCCTTGGCTGCACTCTGGCCACTGGACTTGGCCTCCGTGGAGGACTTGTGGCCCAGCTTGGTGAACATGGGCATTGTGGACGGCAGAAGTGGACAGAGCTGTGAGTTAGTGAAGCCACCGGCCACGGGAGGCCTGGCGTGGACGCCTCGCCTGACACGGAAACACGACACGTTATGACACACCACGACTAGAAGCACACATCCACCCCCGTCGCTGCAGCATGCAACACTGACCCAAGTGCAGCGAGCCACTCGGCATCTCACTCCAGCACCCACCCACAGGACCCCCCGCCAGCCAATCACCGCCCAGTATCGATTCCCAGGAATATCAGGATCGGCCGCTGATTGGCTGAGAGGCCGGCACGTCAGGCTCTCCAAAAGAACATGGGAACTGCGCTAACTCCGCCCACCGCTTGCTTTGTTTATTGATCACACGCGGACCCCAGATGTCAGCACAACGTTTTTGCAAGACCTACCACCTCGCAAAATATACAATTAAAAAACAAATCTGCCAACCCCAAAGCCCCGGATAAATTCAGGAACAAGACGAGAGGAACATGAGACGCTTGTTGCTGAAGGAAATGCGTGTTTACAATAAAAGAAAAATCTTCAACTTGGCTGCTGTCAACTTTTCTGCCTACACAAATACATGCTTGAAGCCCCCCATACTACCCTCATTACTACGCTATTCTAATGACCAACTGGCAATGCTCCAGCATCCTGAGACAACATATACATGACGGGGAGGGGAACAGAGGGAAAGAGAGAGGCGAGGAGGAGAGGGGGATACGAGAGGATAAATCACATGTATTTATGTTTTTTAAGGCTTCTCAGGCACTCAGGAAGGGATTAAGCGTTTTGGCACTTCCGCGAGGGTCGGCGACCAGGGCCAAGATGATGGCTGGCACGACCTTACGCCCGTCCATTCATTCCTTCATTCATTCATGAGAGTATCGTGAGCGAGAAAGGATGAGTCAGGTGAAGTCGAAGTAGTAGTAGTATAAGTCGTAGTCGTGGTGGTGGCGGTGGTAGTAGTAGTAATAGTAGTAGTAGTAGTAGTAGTAGTAATAGTAGTAGTAGTAGTAGTAGTAGTAGTAGTAGTAGTAGTAGTGGTAGTGGTGGTGGTAGTGGTGGTAGTAGTGGTGGTAGTAGTGGTGGTAGTAGTGGTGGTAGTAGTAGTTGTAGTAGTAGTGGTAGTAGTACTAGTGGTACTAGTAGTGGTGGTGGTAGTAGTATCACCATAAGATTTTCCAGTCCCCTCTACCTCAATGCACGCAAAACGAATAGTAGAGATAGTAGTATGAGTTGGTAAAGCAGTTAAATGTCAAAGTTGAAGATATGAAGGCAATCAGACGAGGCCTTCACATAGAAACCATGCCAGTGTCTTCACTAAAACACTGCGAGGTAGAGACTACTAGGAGACTACCACTAGAGCAGTGTCGAGGAACGTGCACCACAGTGCCGAGGAACGTGCACCCCAGTGCAGAGGAACGTGCACCACAGTGCAGAGGAACGTGCGCCACAGTGCCGAGGAACGTGCACTGCTCCTCCACAAGTTTTGATCTTGTTTCACCACGGCTAGTAAAGGTTCGTAAGACATGCTCTCCGGTATATCAACATAATGTTATTTGGTAAACCTTATGGAGAATAACGTGGACCAGTTTGGGAGGGAGTGTAAAGGAAGAAAGTTGAAAATGAACATAGATAAGATTAAGGTGATGAGGGTATTAAATGAGTTAGGTAAAGAAAAATTGGATATCGCATTGGAGGGAGGGAGTATAGAAGTGAATGTGTTCAGATATTTGGGAGTAGATTTATCAGCAGATGGGTTTATGAAGGACGAGGTTAACCATAGAGCTGATGGTGCATTGAGGTACATGTGGAGACAAAAAGCTTTATCCATGGAGGCAAAGAAGGGAACGTACGAGAGTATAGTGATACCAACACTCTTACATGGGTGTGAAGCATGGGTTGTAAATGCTGCAGCAAGGAGGAGGCTGGAGGCAGTGGAGATGGCGTGTCTAAGGCGTTCCCTGTGATCGGATCTACTTGGACCTCCTCTTTTCTGCAACACCGCAAGCTCCTGATGTGTTGATTGCAATACGAAAGGCCTAGAGCTAACATTCTACTTCTCCCGTGGTGGTTTTGCATCTTGTATATATATATATATATATAATATATATATATATATATATATAGGGAGGTACCACCTCTAGAACTGTCATGGGGACCCTCATCCTCAGAGAAAAGAATAAACTTGCTTCAGGGAAAACTCAAGATTCTCCCTGAAGCTGTTTGAGAATTTTCTCCTACCACCCCCTATATTATGTATGTATATTTTATTTAAAGACAAAATACATTGACGAAACATTCACAAAAATATGATACAAAGTAAAACAACATAGGTAACTCAGAGCTACATCTCGAATACTTCGTCCAGCTCCCCTGCGGTGGGCCGCGTGCCCAGAATGCTGCAGGCATTTCCTCTCTGGATCGCAACACTGAGTCTCTGAAAGAGGAAGCTGGTCGCCCTGTGGTCCTTGGTTTCTATGATGAGCTTTTCACCCAGCTCTTTGAGGAACTTTAGAGCACACTTGCCCCATGCTCCAAGGGTCTCCGACCCTATTGGAATGAAGTTATAGCAAGGGGTAAGGTCTTCATATTTTCGGATCTTCTGGGTCTCCCTGTGGCTGGCAGCTCCACCCCCTTCCACTACAGAGTATGGCAAGTATATATATATATATATAATATATATATATATATATATGTATGTCGTTCCGAAAAGGTAAAACTGATCAATTAGGAAGAACTCATTTAAAATTAAGTTCTTTCTAAAATTTTCTCTTATACGTTTAAATATATACTTTTTTTCATTTATGTTAATGTAAAAATTAATAATTTTGTACCAAAAGAACATAAGAAAACTTATCTAACCTTATTATAACAAGAGCAATTTAATTTAGCCTAATTCAACTAAACATATTTTTGATAAGTTAACAATAATTTAATAATAAACAAACACAATGAAATATTTTTCTTGTTAGGTTCAGAATGATTTTTGAGAAATTATTGCATACACAAATTTTTGCTTGCCTTATTCGGCAAGAAGAGCGATGCTATATAAGCCAAAATCTAAAGTTTTACCTATTCGGCACGACACTCACACACACACACACACATAATAAGGAATCTTTCAGGACTCTGTACACTGTGTACGTTAGGCCTATATTGGAGTATGCAGCACCAGTTTGGAACCCACACCTAGCCAAGCATGTAAGGAAACTAGAGAAAGTGTAAAGGTTTGCAACAAGACTTGTCCCGGAGCTAAGGGGTATGTCCTACACAGCAACAAGGGGTCACAGTTGGAAGCTGAAGACACAGATGAATCACAGGGATGTTAGGAAGTATTTCTTCAGTCACAGAGTTGTAAGGAAGTGGAATAGTCTGGGAAGCGATGCAGTGGAGGCAGGGTCCATACATAGCTTTAAGAAGAGGCATGATAAAGGTCATGGAGCAGAGTGACCTAGTAGCGACTAGTGAAGAGGAGGGGCCAGGAGCTATGACTCGACCTCTGCAACCATTATATATATATATATATATATATATATATATATATATATATATTGTAGGTTGTAGGTTGGTAGACAGCAACCACCCAGGGAGGTACTACCGTCCTGCCAAGTGAGTGTAAAACAGAAGCCTGTAATTGTTTTACACGATGGTAGGATTGCTGGTGTCTTTTTTTTTTCTGTCTCATGAACATGCAATGTTTCAGGTACGTCTTGCTACTTCTACTTACACTTAGGTCACACTACACATACATGCACAAGCATATAGTATATACATACCCCTCTGGGTTTTCTTCTATTTTCTTACTAGTTCTTGTTCTTGTTTATTTCCTCTTATCTCCATGGGGAAGTGGAACAGAATTCTTCCTCCGTAAGCCATGCGTGTTGTAAGAGGCGACTAAAATGCCAGGAGCAAGGGGCTAGTAACCCCTTCTGTATATATTAGTAAGTGTAAAAGAAGAAACTTTCGTTTTTCCTTTTGGGCCACCCTGCCTCGGTGGGATACTGCTGGTGTGTTGAAAGAAAGAAGACACACACCACAACACACACACACAACACACACACACACACACACACACACACACACACACACACACACACACACACATACAGAATGATGTAGTTGTATAAATATTCACTTATCTTTTTCTCTTTTTCTTCTGCCCTCACTAGTGTCTTCTTCCATTACTGTAACTTTTTGTCTGTTGGCCTGTTAGCGATTTCCATTCATAATACTCTTAGTTCGCAAGAGCTTCCCTTGCACTCTTTACTGTCTTTTCTTTTCACCTTTTTCCTATCTTCTTCACTCTACCATCCTCTCTTCATTCACTTCTCCTTCTCTTCTTTCACTCTTCTCACTTCATTACTCTCCCCTCCTCTAACCCGTCATTCTTCTCTCTTCCACAATTTTCCTATCTTCATTCTTTTCCTCTCTCCACTCTCCCCTCTAGTCTTTTCCTCTCCCTCCTCTCTTATTCACTCTCCCCTTCCTGTCATCCTTTATTCCTCTTCATTAATTGCCCCTGCATCTCCTCCCTTTCCAATCTCCGCCAGAGACCACCAACCCATAAAATCAGCAGTAAACGAGCACTTGTCCCGTACAAGGCGGGGGTTAGGAGGGGCGGCGCCCCCATGCTGCCAATACCCACCCTAACGACCTGGCTAACAAGGTGATTAATACCTCAAGAGTGATTGTTACGACTTACTCCATCCTCTCTCTCTTTCTCTCTCTCTCTCTCTCTGTCCATACACATGACATGACTAAACAATACAGCCCCATCTCTCTTTTTAAGTAGAAACCTGTAAAATGTTCTCTTCCTCTTTCCTCCCTCCCTCTCCCCCAGCACAGTGTGTCTCCTCTGTGCATCTACCTCTCCCACCTTCTCTCCCCACCTGGCAGGCTTCCTTGCCATCCTATTATCAGCATTAATAATAGTGCTGCTGCCTCCATGTTCTCCTTCACGACACCACATTTACAAGACTCCACCCCCACCTTCCCTCCCACCACCCCCACTTTCCTTCCCACCACCCCCACCTTCCTTCCCACCTTCCCTCCCACCACCCCCACCTTCCTTCCCACCTTCCTCCCACCACTCCCACCTTCCTTCCCACCACCCCACCTTCCCTCCACCACCCCCACCTTCCCTCACACCATCCCCACATACCTTCCCACCACCCCAACCTTCCCTCCCACCACCCCCACCTTCCTTCCCACCTTCCACTACCCCCACTTTCCTTCCACCTTCCCACACACCACCCACCTTCCTTTCCACCACCCTACCTTCCCTCCCACAACCCCCACCTTCCCT